TAATTACAGCCACTTTTTCATTGGTCAAATTATTTTTAGGCTGGCAGACACACACATGCCCAAGTCCAACCACATCCAGCAGGTTGAATCCAGTAGGCAAAAGCAAGTGTTAAATATCTGAACAGCACTTAAATTAACTTTTTTAATGATGATATTTATGTCACCATTATACAGATTTTTAAACCTGTTTTGAAAACCACTTTTCCTCTATTAAATGTTTTTCTTCCAAGCCATCTTGGTATGATCGGGTTTCTGAAATTATAAACCAATGGCAGTAAAATTCTCCTTACGTAAAATAAAAGACACACAGCTGAGAGAATATTATGAAATCCTATTTTTCCCACTGATGTATTATAAAAGGAGTGGTACGCTCCAAGGAATTAAATCATCATCTCTCGTTCCTTTGTAGCCCCACGCGTAGGGTCAGGAAAGTTGTGTATTCTAGCTGCTGTTGTAACAGTTATTTTTAGTCTGGGCCCGACAGCACTGGAACAGGCCAGAGGCAACAGCAATCTGTTCTGCAAGAATGAGGCCCCAAATTTTATAAACTTTGTTTTCTAGTAACATAATGAGGTTAATCCTTATTTTATAAATTAGAGTGTTAAATTTCACATGGTGAAGTTTTATTATAAAAGACCTGGATTTCCTCATATATAATTTCTCTATACCCAAACTACTGTGAATTTATTAAATTTGCCTGTCTTCATCTTCTCTCTCCCATTTTTTTTTTTTTTTGGAGAGGATTTTGTTATAGGGCACGCGTGCTAACCAGAAAGACAGAGAGAATGAGAGAGAAAGAGAAACAGAAAGTGAGAAATCACCCCCTGGGGAGATGGTTACAGCCCAATCCCTTCTCCTCCATTCTCCTCTCGGGATCTTGGGCACGCACGTGCACACACCCAGTGTGAGTTCAAGCCACTGGGTCTGGGACTTGAACCACGGTCGACTATATGGAAGTCCAGCGATGTAGAGCCATTATGCGATCTGCTGGTCCCATCAACCAGTATACTTTGAGCATCTGTATTTGCCAGGTTCTGTTCTACGTAGTGGGGATGTAAGCATAAAAACAGATAAGATTTTCCCACTCCCCCAAAGCATACATTCTCTTGAAGGAACAACAATGAACATGATAAAAATACAATAAATATGCTGATACTGAGAAATGTGACAAAGATAAACTAGTATAATAGTCTACATGTGGTAGTGTCTGGAGAGACTATGCTTCTTGAGCTTATCATCAGGCAAGGCCCATCTCAGAGCGTAACACTGACCAGAGATCTGAGAGAACGCAGCAGGGCAGAGCCCTGAGAGGGACCACAAGCAGAAAGAACAGTAAACATACAAAGGCCCTGGGACGATGGTATGCTTGTCATGCTCGAGGGAGGGAGAAGAGGCCACAGTGGCTGGAGCAAAGGTGGTGAGAGATGAGGTCGGGGGTGGTAGCTGAACCCTGGTTTCCAAGCTTTATTTCTGTTGAAATGGGAAGCCTCTGAAAGGAGTGGTACTCCAGGATGCTCAGGCTCGCCATGCGGGGTAAGGAAGTGAAGGCTGCCAAGTCTACTGGGTATGCCCAAAGGTCCTAAACTGGAAAGAGCTTGCCATGTTTATGGAACTGAAAGGAGACCAAGTGGGGTTGGAGATTATGTTTACACAGGAGAACACACATTGTAAGATGGGGTTGGAAAGTGAGCAAGGGCTCTTCCTGTAAACTGTGGTAAATAATTTGAATCTTCACTTGAAATACAGTGGGAAGACAAAAGAGCTATAAGGGAAGGAATGATAACCATGATCAGATTACTATTTGAAAAAAGGTTACTCGGGGCCGGCAGGCGGTATGGTGACTGAGATCCTGATTTCCCATGTGGCTGACTATGGTTTGAGTCCTGGACCTGACAGCTTGCTTTCTCACATTCTCTTTCTCTCCCTGTCTCTTTCTGGTCAAATTTTAAAAAATAAGAATAACAACAAATGAAAATAAATCATTTTTTAAAAAATTACTCAGGCTGTTATGTGGAAAAAGTACCGAAGAAGGCAAAGGGGAAATGTGGCCCTTAGGACATGAGGAGTCTATTACAACGGTCTGATGAAGAGGTAACCATGCCTAGGACTAGGGAGGGTAGTGCAGTGAGAGTGGAGATGGAGAACTACATACAGATGCTAGACACATTTTACAGAGAAAATCAGAAAGGCTGTGAACGAACTGGATGCTGAATTCATGTGGAAGAGGAGACTTGGCTCACTTGACCTGAACAAGGTTCTGGCTGGCTGGGATGGCAACATAAGATCCTGCTGAGGGTCGCTGTCTGTCACTCTCATGAAAAAATAAACTTAATAATACCACTCTGGAACCTTCGCTCTAAGCATATATGCATCCCCGGTCTGCCACTTACATACTGTAAAACTTCGGTTAAATTTTTAGGTCACTGAGAAAGTAATGAGTATTTTTCTACACAAATATGCATCATGCCTCTCTCGACAGCCTAATATTTCACAGGGGGCTAGCCCCACAGTTGGGCTGCACAGAGAGAACTGGTCCCCACATGGATAACCAGGGTTCTAGTCCAGTCCCAGTGGCTTGAAAAATATGCTGGGTACATGCACATGTGCCCAGGACCCTAACAGGATGAAAAACTGGAGGAAGAGAACTGCAGCATTTTGGAGAAGTGCTTTCTCTTTCGTATATACACATGCCCTCTGGCATAAAAATATTTATTTATTTTAAAATGTCTGTTCAATTTTCTAAAAAGAAAGAAGAATAGTCCATAAGAAAAGAAAACAAAGGCCTATACAAACACAGCAGCTTTATGATGAACAGATGAACAAAGTGCTGGATATCTAAACAATGAAATGGTACTCGGCAGTGAAAAGTAATAAACCTGTTGATAATTAAAAAAATAATCATGCAGAGTGAAAGAAGCCATACCCTACCCCGCCAAAAAAGATAAAGAAAATTAACACATGACATACCATTTATGTATAGTACTAGAAAATGGAAACTAATGTGACAGAAAGCAGAAGAACGGCTACCTGGGGACCAGAAGTAGTAAAAAGTAAGGGATTACAGGGGCCAGCAGGGAGCATGGTGGTTGAGGCCAGTGGATTCCCACATGGCCGACTGCGGTTTGAGTCTCAGTGTGCTTTCCCTCTCTCTCTTTTTCTCTTTCTAGTCAAATTAAATAATAATAATAATAATAAATAAAGTTAAATGAAATAATTCTTCAAATTATGAAAAGAAGGAATTGTAAAGGATTAAAAGAAGACTTGAGGAAGTTTTGCGAAGATGGTTTTGTTCATTATCTTGACTGGTTATGTGTATTATCTTTTTTTAAGAATTATTTTATTTAACTCTATTTATTTATGTATGTATGTATGTATGTATTTAAATTTGACTAGAGAGGGATAGAGCGAAAGAGGGACAAGGAGAGGGAAAGTGAGAAAGCAAGCCACCATGTCCGGGACTAGAACCATGGTCAACCATGTGGGAGTCCAGCATCCTTAACCACCATGCCACCTGCCAGCCCCCTGCATTATCTTGACAGTAGTGAGAATTGTATGCATTTACACCTTACCAAACCATATACTTTAAATTCAAGGGTTTACAAAGTTCAAGAAAAATGGAATTAAAGTACAAGGTTTTTTCCTAAGGTTTATTTATTTAATTCCATTTGTCATTATTATTATAATTTTTAAAATTTGACCAGAGAGAGAGAGAGAGAAAGGGAAAGCGAAAAAGGAAGCCACCAAGCCTAGGACTCAAACCGTCATCAGCCATGTGTGAAACCAGCGCCTTTAAACACCATGCCACCTGCTGGCCTCTTAAAGTACAAGTTTATTTTGGGGTAAAAATTTGGGAAATCCATGAACAGACTTTTCGTAATAAGACCCCTCATATGTACAGTTTATTGACTATCAGTTATACCTCAATAAAGCTATTTTCTTAAGAAAGAAATATCATATCTCACAGAATCTTTGTAGGCAGGTAGTGCTAACACAAACAATAAGCATAAAGCTCATACTACTCACTGAAAAATATTACTATGATAATTTTAAAGTCTATGATCTGACTTGAATACTTACTATACTTATTATGGGCAAAACCCTACACAAACTAATAAAAATAACAGTACTGGGACCAGTAGGTGGCATAGTGATTAAGTCACTAGACTCCTACATGGCTGACTACGGTCTGAGTTCTAGATCTGGCAGCTTGAAAATCAGGCTGGGCACATGTGCATGCATGCCCAAAATCCCAAGAGGAGAATGGACTGTGGCATGGTGATTTCTCATTTTCCCTCTGTCTGGTGAGTACATACACCCTATGTCAAAAAACAAAACAAAACAAAACAAAAAACTATTTAAAGACAAAACAAACAAACAAACCAAAAACAAGGGCCAGCAGGTGGCATAGCAGCTAAGGTGCTGGACTCCCACACAGCTGACCAGTTTGAGCTCTGGGCCAGGGTGCCTGAAAATCATGCTGTGTACTTGCACAAGCATGTCCATCCTTCAGGGGTTGGGGAGCTGATTTCTCTCTCTCTCTCTCTCTCTCCAAAAAACAAAAATAAAACAAAAGTTAAAAACACATTAAAGCAAATAAATATTTTAACTTAGACTCTCAAAGCAACAGAAGATTATAATTTTTTTTTAATATTAGATGGATGTGAGCAAGGAGCTATACTATAGGCTTTAAAAGATTTCATAATCCTTTAAGTGGTATTATCACCATTTTATATATGAAGACATAAGAGCCTAACATTTAATAATATGTAACTTGCCCAAGTTCATATAATAAGTAGGAAAGATTAGACACTAAACCAAATTTCATGAACTTCAAAGTTCATGGCAATATTTTTTTCACCTCACCAAGAGTTCATCTAAGTGCTGGCTTCAGAAAAGGATGTCTCACAGAATCTCAACATGCGACAAGGAAGAATTTCCCTGCCAGACTTTAAAGTATCTGGCATTCTGCTGTATCAAGTGAGTAAATTAGTATCACTTACCATATCTGTAGCTTGATCTTCTTTCCTTGTAATTCAACTGTTTTGATCTTAAAGTCTATTCCTACAACATAAAGAAAGAAAAAGGTGTAAATTGTACCTGTGGCTTAGTGCTTGTTTATACAAAGTTAACTGGAACAATAATGCTTAGACTTCATAAACTTGTTTTTGTTTGGTTCTGGACATCCATCAAGTATGCAGTTCTAAGGAAATGTGTACAACTTTATTTATATGTATTTTTAAATTCAGGATAGAGCATGTGTGTGGGCACGTATGTGGAGCCACAGAGGTAGAGAGGGAGAGGGAGGCACCCTTCACAGGGCTGACCCTCCCAGCAATTCCCTTCTTCAGCTCTCCAGCTCACTCACACACATGCCCCGTATGCTCAGAAGTTTTCCTATACTAAAATACAGCCTTCACTAGCTTGCAGGGCAAAAGAAAACTATCAAGAATAAAGAAGGGTCATTTCATAATGATAGTCAACTCTTTCTTTCTATCGAGATGAACGTTAATCTTAAGATTTTACTGTCTTAATAATAAAACAAAAGATGAAGCTTAGGGCTTGATCACTTGGCCTTTTCTCTATCTCCTCCAGTTCAAAATGCTTGCACCTGCTGACAGCCGTCATTCTCTCAGTTCAGC